CGGCGGCGCCCCGGCCTCACCCCTGCCCGACGGCGGCGCCCCGGCCTCGCCCCTGCCCGACCTGCGCGGGACCTCTTTAGGCCTTCAAAGTGGGTTCAATCCTGTCCTAAAAGATAGCTGCGCCTCCCAGAGCCGCGATCAAGGGCGCCTGGCGGCCCCTCCGGCCCCGACCTGGGGTGTGGTAGCCGGGTCGGGCGGCAGGCGGGAGGTGTGCTTGCTGGGTGTGCAACACGCGTCGTGTGCGCATCGCACCGCACACGCACATGCGGTGGAGGCACTCGCATGCTGTTGCGTTGGCCGGGCAGTGTGTGGAGCCGCCCCCCCCCCAGGCAGGCTGAGTTTCTCAGGAACACCAGCGTGACCAGGGGATCACACCCCCCGTTAAGCCTTGCCACTGCAAGTATGTTTTGCATAGCTCGCTGCTCTTAAACTACAGCATTTAGTGGAAGTAGGCAAACAGCTGCCAGGCTTAGGAGATTTAAAAATCCAGAGCCTGAGTCAGTCCCGACGTCCTGACCAGCTAAAACTAGAGGGAAAGTCTGACTTTGCCTGTCGCACACGGATCTCCTGGTCGCTTGTGTAGCCATGCTGTGTAAGCAAGCAAAGCAGGTCTTCTCAGTCCAGAAACTTCTCATGGAAAATGCAAATCTGGAACAAGAGATCTTCTAGCCAGAAATTCCTGGGAGTCAGATACTGGCAACTCTTTTCTCATTTTCTTAAAACGTGCCATGAAAGGGTTGTATTTAATCTCTGCCACCTCCCCCCCCCCACACACACACAGAGTACCCTTCTCCCTCTCAGTGAGGCTGAATACAAAAGCCCAGAGTGGATTCAGGCTTTAAACTAAGGCTAAGAAATCAGCCCAGTCCGGGCCCCACTTTGATTCCCTAGTGGCAAAAAAGAGAAACTGCCAGACCCCACCAGACACTGGAGCTCCTCTGACAGCTGTGGTCCCCGGAAATGCCAATGCCAGTGTCACCTAGAAACAGATAAAGAACCTAGTGGTGGACACCTGACCTCAGAAGCTCAGCTTCGGCCTCCCCCGCCCCCCCTCCAAGCTGTTTGCTGGCCTGTCACCTGGCAGCCAGCCCCCCCCCCCAACAGAGGCAGGTGTGGCTCAGAAGGGACTGCTGTCTTTGCATGCAGGTAGGCCTAGGTGAGAAAACATTTTACTAGTGTGAAATTTTAATTGTGGCCAAGAGCAGCAGGGGTTGAGGGAAAAAGATCAAAGCTAATGCTGGGAGCCAGCATGCTGGGCTGGCACCATGCCACAGAATCTAGTTACTTCCAGAATGGCAAAATTGTAGAAATTTTACCTAGCATTTGTTATTGGCCAGACACTATCTTAGGTGCATTATAAATATCCATCTTGTCCTCTTCACAATCCTACCAGGTAGGGTTTACGAGCCCCATTTTCTAGAGGAAGAAATTGAAGTCCAGAGAGGCCCCTGGCATGTGCCGGGTAACGCCAGTGCGGTCTGGAGACAGAGTCCATGCTGGTCACTCTTTGTCTCGGGCTGCTTTCCCGCACCGTGCGGAGGTTTGCCAGACAGAACTGTGAAGATCGAGGCTATGAATCCAAGAATACAGGTCAGACTGGACAAGCGCAGCTCCGGCAAGCGGTGGCAGCCTCCTCCTTAGCGGTGGGGAACGGAGGGCTTGCCCTCTGCCCGGGGACAAGGACAGGATGTCTGCTGTGGACATTCATTCAGTGTCGTATTTGAAGTGCTAGCCGGTGACAAGACAAGTAAAAGAAGTCACAGATATCCAAATTGAAAGTGAAGAAGTAAAATCATCTTCATTTAAATGATATGATTGCCTCTGGAAAATGCTACGGTGTCTATCTTTAAGAAGCTACTAGAAGTCATCGGTAAGTTCAGTAAGTGTTATTATTATTATTATTATTTCCCTAGAGTTGCCACAGGAAACTATACAACCCGATTAACTTTTAAAAACTAAATTTCAGGGCTGGGAAGGTGGCTCAGTGGTAGAGTGCTCGCCTCGCAGGCACGAGGCCCTGGGTTCGATTCCTCAGCACCACATAAGCAGAAAAAGCAGGTAGTGGTAGGTAGAGCACTAGCCTTGAGCTGGAGAGCTGAGGGACAGCACCCAGGCCCAGAGTTCAGGCCCCATGACCGGACCCCCCCAAAAAAAAAAGATGTTGGAGTTCCTTCCTTCTTCCCTCCCCCCCTCCTTCCCTCTTTTTCTTTTTCCTTCCTTCATGCTTTCTTCTTCCCTCCCTCTCTTTTTCCCTCCCTCCTTCCTTCTGTGCTAGAACTGAACCCAAGGCCTTACAAATGCCTGGTAAAAAGCAGGGCATCAGTGGCTCACGCCTGTAATCCTAACTACTCAGGAGGCTGAGATCTGAGGATCACAGTTCAAAGCCAGCCCAGGCAGGAAAGACTGTGAGACTCTTATCTTCAATAAACCACCAGAAAAACTGAAAGTGGCGCTGTGGCTCAAGAGGTAGAGCGCTAGCCTTGAGCTGAAGAGCTGAGGGACAGCGCCCAGGCCCAGAGTTCAGGCCCCACAACCATCAACAACAACCAAAAGAGAGGAGGAGGAAGAGGAAGAAGAGGAGAAGGAGGAAGGAGAAAGGAAGAAGAGGAGGAGGAGGAGGAAGAAGAAAGAGATCCAAATGCCTGGTAAATGCTCTCCAGAATGACTGCTGTCTCAGATGAGGCCATCTCCTCCTAATACCTCCACATGGTTCCCTTCAGTACATATCTATAGTCTCTCTTCTATGTGTTGCATGTTATAATCTATTCTTCCTGCAAGGGTGCTGATCAC